ACTGCATGGCATGACCTAGTGATCAGGGGAAACCAGGTAAACTAAATGTCTTGGCTTTTTGTTCATGCCTTTATGAGTCATTAGGCTAAAATGTGCTTATAATTATGAGGGTTGACTGACTCTACACAGTTGAGAAAGTTGGTCTTGTTTGGTTTTTTCTTTTTTGTGGTTGCTTTTGGTAGGTGTTTTCGTAAAATTTATGTACCACACTACTATGTAGTGTTTGACAATGTTTTCAGAAAATATATGTGCCATACTAATATGTAGTGTTTTGACAAAAAAAAATTACTCTAGCATCTTTATAGTTAAAAGGATGGTTGAAAAATGTGTTTTTAACTTTTTCAAATACATGTTCTTAGGAAACAGGTTCAAACAAACAGATCCAATATCTGGAAATTAAACACACTTTATCAAAACAGGTATAAGCCCATGGGAGGGGAACAAAATTGGGATGGCCACTGAATAAGGAAATAAAATTTGTACCTGGGTCTATTCCGTCTGTGTTTGGGCTTTGAGTGGAGCTAATATTGTCATGTTTTTTATTAATACATTACTGCAAGAAATACAAAACAGCAACTGAAAGTGTGAGGATTTGATTTTTGTGCTACATAAGATGATGACAGACAAGAAAGTTGGTTATTTAGGTATGTGGACCAAATTGAAGCTACTGATTTGATCAATTGTATATGATGACAGAAGCATGAATTTGTCATGCAATAATCAAGACAATAAGATTTGTACTATTCTGGCTATAGGTTATTATCTTATAGATCTGCATCTTTTCTTGACAAATAGTTTATGCTCTTTCTTCTTTTACAAAGTTACAAAGAAAAAAAAAGGTTAAGGGCTGAAATATAACAACAAACTGCACCTGCAATAAACTGGATGGATGGTCCAAAATGGAGCATTTCGAAAAGTGAGGTTGGAAATTAGAATATTGTGAGAGTTAATGAGCTCAACAAGGTGGCCCCTGGTATGTTCCAAAGTCCTATTCCACCAAAGATCCCACCACATCTTCCCTTGCCCATCAATTGTACCATTCTGACCTACAAAGTGGTGGACATGATTGAAAAGAGAAAAAGATTTCATCAGTTGTGACAAAAGAAAGGTGGAAAAAAGGGTAATCAGTTAAAGTACTAGCAAAGAAAACAATTTGAGCAGTTGTCAGATGTCACCATCAGATCAGGAATGCTTAAACAGGATAGTCACTAAATCTGGAAAGTCTACACCTAAATGAAAACCACTCGTCTTTGGTTGGTGGTCACCACCAATGCATTAAGACTTGATGGAATGGGTGGCAAGGGTTCAAACCTTGCCTTCTATC